TTCGTGGACAGGGAGTCGGTGTGGCTCCCCTCCTGCCCTGGAGGGTCAAGCCCCGGCAGGAACCTTTTACACTGGGCTCTTATGTTGGAAGCTCTCTAGGGCAGGACCCGGGCGTATCTGCTCGTTCTCTCTGGGGCAGGACCCGGGTGTATCTGCTCGTTCTCTCTAGGGCTGGACCCTGGCCTTTCTATGGGCTCATTCTGGCAAGTGCCCACAGCATGCGAGTCAAATATAATATCAGCTGTGCAAACACACGCTAGTCACGCCCCAGCGGGCCTGTTGCCTCTGTATCTCTCGCTTAGAGGTGAGCCCATTGCGGCCGGAGCTGCCCCTGAATATGTCTGTGCCGCACCCAGCCCCGCGGGCCTCCGCACTGGTCGGAGGCGCTAGATGCTATTGCAATGGAAAGGTTACATAATCACAGGGTCCGGGCATGCCTACTTCTGCCCTCTTGTACCGCCCCCAGCACTAACCAATAATGAATAATAACGGCCTGTCAAATGCCATCCCGGCTCTGCTGTGACAGAGAAACAGGCTGGTATCAGCCACACTCAGGGAAATGCTACAAGAGAGAAAGCAGCACAAAAAGCCAAGGACCAAATGTTTAAGATTCTTTGCATAAGAACATCAGGCAGGCAGTGTCCCTCTCTGACCTGCTGGGCATATGCTGCAAAGCACTGAAGGGGAACAAACGGCTCGTACACAGAACCACCCAGCACAGATTAAGCCAGTCACGTCCCCACAGAGCCAACAATCACAGTGTGTAATGTGGGCCCCTGTAAGCGGCAGCAGTTCAGCACCCCAACCCCCACCCCCCTTTTCAGAGGCAGGTGAGCAGACGACAAGAACCCAGGAGCAAAGGAAAGAGCAGCTCAGGGAGGCTGCTGTCAGGCCAGTGGGATGGGAAAGGGGGTGGGCTGGCAGTGCATTGCAACAACTGCAGCCCGGGTCCCTGCAGCTGCAGAGCAAGTGTAACGGGGCAGCTGGCCCATGACATGAAACGGGGCTCAGCACTCCTGGTCCAGACCAGGAGCTCCCTGCTGGGCTAATTAAGAAAGTGGGACAGCACCTGAGGGCTACAAAAGGTCAGTCAGGAGTCAGCCAGGCGAAGGGTAGGAGATGGGAGCTGCCAGAGACAGACGGTGGTTCCTGGGGGCAGGTTAAAGGCAGGAGAGAAGAAAGAGGGGTTTGCTGATGGGGGTCCCCAGGGCCAGGGGGGCTGGAGAGGGCCGAAGGCAGAAGAAGCAGCAGAGGGAGATGTCTGCAGGCTCTAAGCTGCAGAGTTAGTGCCCAGGGCCAGAGGCAGGGGAGCAGCGGAGGGATGTACCTGCTACTGTCTCCTTGCTGGAGAGCTGGGGTGCGGTGAGAACAAAGACTGTGTGCATGGGGGATATGGACTAGGGTCGGGGACTCAGGTAGAGACTCGTGCATAAAGTTGCTGTAATCAGCTGGCCCCCAGGAGGGATGCTGTTAAAGTAAGAACCTGAAGTGAAGTCTTTTGAGTTACCCAAGAGGGACACTGAGGCAAGGAGCCACTTGCAGGGCTGCCCCAAGGGGGTGTCATCTACAGGGAGACTAGCCTCTGAGGGCACCTCCAAACAGAGCAAAGACTCACTCCATTGCCAAAGCCCACTTCAAAGTACTGAGTAATGGCTAACAGCCACTTCGGCTCCAGCCAGCAGCAGCAAGATGGGAGAGGCCCAGCAAAGGGAGTGGGACAGTGTTGAAATCCTGGGGCTAATTACCATACAAGAGGCTGCTTTAAGCATGGTGCCTCCTCAGTACCCTGAGCACTGGGCCAGCAGAGCAGCATGCAAAGGGAGAAGCCTCTGTTCCTACTCTGGAGTGCGAAAAGGGTGGGGACAAGGAGCATGGCTGGGGCAGATCTCACAGTGGCTATTCTGTATTGTTGCCCCTTTCCATTCCTGATCTGAAGCTTCCCCACCCCAGTAGGGGTGTGGTCCCAGCAAGTCAGTAAGTTTGGGATGGAAATTCCCACAGTATCTAACCAAGGACGCTCATCCCATTACATTGGAAACACTGGCTGGCGTGATGCTCATCAGCCATGCTGAGCTTCTAAAGCAGGAAGACAGGGCATTGTAAAGCCGATTATACTGATCTGCTTTAGCACAGTGCAGCGAGCAGCAGAAACAGGAAACATCACAATGGTCTTCAGTGAACCGGAGATGTCTCAATTGTTACACTCAGCAATACGCCTGTTCCTATTAACGTGCCATTCAGTTCTTTAGGAGAGCAGCAGAAAGTCATTGCCAAAAGGGACTGACAGCTTTTGACTTTGGCTCTGGCTCGGTGACACGTTTTTGCACCAGACTTGTGTGATCCATAAGCAGGCAACTTTCTGGAAGCAAACGGCACCGAGCTGGATTCCTAGGGAAGGTCACGCTAAAGGTTATGAAAGGCAGCAAGAAACATCCCTTTCTGGAGGGGCTCCCTGTGCTTGCTCAGGCAATAAATAACAGACAGCTTCCTGAGAAATCCAGCTGGCATGAAGGAGCAGCCGGCACATCCCAGCGCAGGACCTGAATGACCTGAGCAACAGCCATGAGCAGAGCCAACTTCTCCAAGCTCCTGCCCAGGTGCAGGAGAAAGCAGCCATCTGGCAGCAGTTACGATTCCGAGGGCTATTGAACGACTCGGCCAGAGGGCCCAGCTGGGAAATCAAACATGCACCTGCTGCTCTCCTCAGGGGATGGCCACCCTTCGAGCTGGGGCGTGATTCGTAGCTCGAGGGGAAATACAGCTAGTGAGCTAAAGCCAGAGCACAGCCTTGGCAGTGCGACCAGCCGTCCCAAGGACATCCCAATGGGCTGGGCCGGGGGCTGCGAGCCCCTCCTGCGGCTGGGCTACACTCTCCCTAGCATGCGAGCTCGATGAGAGCTCATGTGAGCATTTCTCCTTGAGCTGAGACTCAATCCCCAGCTCCAAGTGCCGACGTACTCTAAGGGGCAACATTGCTGTATCCGTTCTTTAGAAACAACCTGCGCTGGGGGAAGAGTGTCAAAACCATTCCACGCATATTCAATCTTGTTTCTAAATGAGTTTGCTTTTCCTGTGTCATCCCTCACTGTGTCTGCTCTCCCCATATAGTCTAGTGAATGAGTTCACTGGCAGAAAGATCCTGGAAACAGGCAATGCTAAGTGACTCTTGCAAAAGAAACAAACATACCAGGTGACCTGCATGTCACAAACAGCTCAAAGATTCAATATCCGGAGCTCACAAGGAACTGGAAAAAGCTGACAGCCAAAACTCATTCCCAGAGAGTTCAAATCAGCTGGAGGAGTGATGGGAAATTCACAAACAGGAAACACTCGGTAAATCATTAGTTGGGAAGGACAGCCCTGCTCCAGAGATGTGGACTCCTAGTGCCATCTACACTGGGATACCAAACAGCAGAGCCTGATTCCACAGGAGGGGGCCAATTTTGGTTAGACGTATTCCTGGAGGCTTCATCACGTGACATAATCTTTAATTAAAGATTAATTACCAGGACAATCCTGGAGGGTGGGCAACCCTATTCCACAGCAACTTCAGGCCTGGGGCTGGGGAAGGAGATGGGCTGGGGAGATCCGGGCAGTGCACCACGTCCGCAGCACCTCACGGCTCCACCCACACTGAATGTCAGCTACTCCCACTCCTCTGCCCTGCCCGAGCAGGTCTCCCATCAATCAGATATCTTCACCTGCACCAATTACACAGCCGGACGAGTGCTAGGCTCACCTGGCCAAGGTCTGGGATGGCTGTGAGCTGTGAGCCAGTCTGCACAACCCACCAATGCAAACCAGGAACATGAAGCAATGAGCAGGCTAGTCCTTCAGTGCCGGGTCTACCATCCACGCCTCAGTTCTCCATCTCACCTCCATTGCCTCCCGCCCGCCACCCACCGCCCACGTCATCTCCAGCCTCAGCAGCTGCCTCTTGGGGGCTGCAGGCTGGAGGGCTGTTCAAAGAGGATTTGCACATGTTCCCAGGTATGCTGGCTGCCCCAGGGAAGGAGAGGCAGGGAACCGGGGTCAGGGAAGGGGTGTTCCTCATTTGTATCTCAGCAGCCTCCCCACCCCCTCCCAGCATCCCAACTGAATCAATTGCTTCAGATCGCTCCCCACCGCTGGAGCAGTCCCTGCAGCCAGCCCATCAGCAGGGTGTAGCAGCCATGCCAGGCAGGCAGCGTGAGAGGAAGGCTCCCAGCCCGACCCAGCAGCCATCGGTGTGTCAAGGCGTAGATGGGAGAAACTGCCCTGGCTGGCCGTGAAGGGAAACCGTAGGCGGTTGAAGGAGGAAGTGTGGTAAGCAAAGGTCACTAGAGCTTAGTCAGAGACCTCCGGAAGAAGCTGCTGTGCTCTGTTAAAGCACCAGAGGGGAAACCTCAAGACTTCGTTTCCTTCATTGTCTCAGCTAGCCACTGCTGCAAACAACATGGCCCCGGCAGGACGGGGAAGGACTGCTCAGCATGGTGAGTGCACAGCACACAGCGGCCTTGGAAGGGCCGGCCTGTCATCCCTGGAGAAGAGCCCTGTCCAGTCCCACAACAGCAAGGGACTGCCTCTGCAAGAGGCCTGCAGTTCCCTGGCAACCAGAGTTCTGCCTATGTGCCCCGGAATATGAACAGACTGGAGCCTGTGTGGGGTGATGGTGGGCAGGGCTGGCTGGAACCCCCAGGGAAGGGTAGCTAGGAAGGAAGGCTCACTGCGTGTCCTGAGCTCCTCCCATGGGGTGTACATTCAGCAGGACAAGCAGGAGGGGAAATCATGTACTTCTGAAACCCTTGCAACAGCAAGAAACAACGGTGGGTGACGGCATGCTGCCTGGGCTGCCCCACTTGCCCACTGGGCCTTGATGGGCCAGCGAGCCATTGAGAATCCACCAAAGCCAGGCTTCTGCCTGCTGGCACACTCACCCTCCTGGAGTTTGACACTCTGGAGATAGAGAGGATTCCTCAGCACATTGCAGCGCCCGGGCTCATCTTCCTTAGTGAAGAGCAGCAAGTCCGAGTAAATGAAGACGGTCACCTGGAGGGTAAGATGACAACACAGGAGGCATCAGGAGCCATTGTCAAAGAGCCTCCTTCCAGCCTAGACAGGCATCAGCCCCAAGAGTTAGCCTGGAACTCCAGGGCCTCCTTTCCAGCCCCGCAGAGGCCTCTGGAGACACCCTGGCAATGAAGGGAGCATTTCAGACACCGCAAAACTCACACTACTTCAAACGGCAGACGCTTGCTAGCATCAACAAGTTATTAGCCATCACTCCTACCCTGCAGTCTGTTGTTTCCAGGGGACTTCTGGAGCCCTGTGATGGGAGGAATCAAAGTGTCCAGAATTGTTGTGCCCACATGCACACACCCACACCGCTCTCTCTCCAACCCTCTTTTCCAAGGTTTTCACACCCCAGGATGAAGGACAGGAAATGATTTGAGTTGTGGAAGTTCCAGTCTGGGAGCACATTTACTCTCTCAGATTGCATGAGAACCCAATTTGGTGAGGACGAGGGGCTTTGACTCTGTTTTAACTATTACACACTGTCCTGCTCCCCTCAAGTAAACAACATGTTGGCTCTGAAGGAGCCATGCTAAAGGAGAATGTTTGCAGGCATGTAATGGGGACAAACAATGATACTTAAAAACAATAATTATTTTGGCTGCAATTGGGATGCAAATATTACAAAATATGAAAGCTACATGCCTTAGCGACTTAATTCCCCTGAAACTCGGGTGAGGGACCTACTATATATTCATGGCATTAACTGCATAAATGGAAGGCAGATTTTCTTCTGGGTTTGTACAGCTCCTAGCACAGCGTGGTCCTGATCCATGACTACGGCTCCTAAGTGCTACTGCAATAATAATAATAAATAACAAGCAAAAGAATCAACTCATCCACCAAGTGGGACTCCATGACTCAGATGTTAGCAGTTCTGTCCTGCCAGCCAGTGTATGGCTCGGCTTGGTTACGGCTCGCTGGCCTCTGAGCTTGCCCAAGTCTCAGCCAGATGCCCAAAGCACACATCCAAACCTAGATTGAAAAGGGGACAGGACAAACCCTTGGGAACTTCTTGAATTTCTTTCTCCTCTAAAGGTGGATGCTTCCCTAGACAGCCAATAGGCGCGCTGTGTGAGGGATGAAGTGGAACAGGAGAGAGCCACCCTGCTGCTGTTCTCCCTGATCACCCCCAGCTCAGTGCCAGCAGTTGTACTGCACCTCCAGGAATGCTGCCGCTGAACAATGCCAAGTAACTACCCCAACGTCTTTGTGGCCAAACTTGTGGCAACTTATTTCCAAAAGCAGAAAATTAAAAAACCTGAATGCTTTTTGCTAGGCTTGTAAGAGAGAATCCACTTGCTGGCTTCGCTACTGCTCTGTTGCCACCATTCCCTGGACCACCCTTCAGCCAGGGCACTGACTGAGTCACTGTTTACACATGCAGTGTGGTTCTGAGATGAGGCAGATTTCACTAGGCGAGGGGCCAGATTTCAGGTTCTAACAGAACTCCGTACGTCGTGTCAGTGTTTGGCTCTGGCGCTGAAATGAGTGGCCTTGCTACAGTCCGTTTTCCTTCCTGCCCACAGGTTTGGTTTTGTGGAGTTCTCAGGAGTGAAGAACTATGAACCTCGCTTTAGCTTACAAACAAAACTAGCATTGTGTTTGCTTCTCTCACTGAACAGCCAGCAGCCCTGCCCTGCTGCCCACGCTCACCCCCTCAGGGTTTGGCTTAATTATTAACTTCAAGACCGACACAGTACAAACCTCACTCTAAGCCTGCTTCTGAATTTGGCTTGTTCCAAGGGTCACTCCCTGGGGGATCCCTCCAGCCCTGGCCCTAGTTCACTCTGCCTTGTAAGGAGACACTCTAGCACTGCCGTACTTTCCAACAGGAACTAACAGGAAACAACGGAGACCAGGAAAAGTCAGCAAAATCACTCTAGCTCCATGGGTGGGGTCATAGGACATAGTTATTTCCAGACTGGATCAGACTCAGGATCCACCTGGTCCAGTCTCCTGTCTCTGGCAGTGGCAGTACCAGCTGCTTCAGAGGAAGGTGTGAAAACCCAGTAGTGGTCAGATGGGGGATAATGTGACCTTTGCATTAGGTCTGCAATGGAATAAAAGACCCATGGCATGGCCATGGCTGGCTTAGGTCAGCTAACTCAGGCTCACGGGGCTCAAGCTGCAGGGCTAAAAATTGCTGTATAGACATTCGGGCTCAGGCTGGACCCTGGGCTCTGGGATCCGCCTCCTCAAGGAGTCCCAGAGCTCGGGCCCGAGCCTGAACATCTACACAGCAGTTTTACAGCCTCGCAACCCGAGCCCCGCAAGCCCGAGTCAACTGACCCAGGCCAGGGTTTAATTGCAGTCTAAACGTACCCTAATAGTTAGAAACTGGCTCAAGCCCTGAAGCCTGAGGTTTGATGTCCCTTCCAAAATGTTTGTTGTCATTAATTATAACAACTCTGGATGTTCTTGTTATCCATATAAATGTCCAACCTCTTTTTGAATCTTGTTAAATTCTTGGCCTCAGCAAGTTCCTGTGGTAAGGAGTTCCACAGTCTAATATTGTGTTGTATGAAGAAGGGTTTCTGTTTGTCAGTTTTGAATTTGTCACCCTTTAATTTCATTGAATGCCCCTTGTTCTTGTGTTATGAGACTGAGACCAGAAGTTCCCAATCTCCCTTCTCTAGACCATTCATTACTTTACATGCTTTTATCATGCTGCCTCCTATTCATCTCCTCTTTAAAGTAAACAATCTCAATCTTTTCAATCTCTCTTCCTGGGAGTTTTTCCAGGCCCCTTGTCATTCTCATCATCCTAGGACCAAGAGTCTGTCACACTCCCCAAGAAAAATATTACAGTTATTTTGCAAACACACATCCCTTTAAGCCCAGTGAACACAAAAACAGAAAAGCGCTTCCTTTAAAGTAGAGCTGCTCACACACTGAACTTTCCATTCCATGGGAAGCTCCAGCATTTGAAATATTTATTTTATTTTTCTTCCAAATCAGAATGAAAAGCTGCAATTTCAAAATTTCCCACGAAACAAAATTTCAAATTCGGACCCATGAAAATGTTTCATTTTGATCATGTTGATTCTTTTCCTTTCAACTATTTTATTAAAATATTAAATATAATATATTTTCTGTCATATTAAATAGAACACAAAATATAATAAAATTATTATTTTAATGATATTAAAGTCTAATCAAAATGAATAGAAATAATAAACAACACAAAATGGTTTAACTGTATTGAAAATGACAACATTGAAATGAAATGAGAAAGTCGACATGAAACATTTCATCTTTTCCTGTGGAAAATGCCCTGCCAGGTGGAGGAGGAGGAGAGAGCACTGACTCTGAGCTCTGGCCAGGCAGAGGCCAGTAGAGACTTTGGTCAGAGCTGTTTCAATGGGGTGCAGGGGGTGGAAGCTGGACTGGAGAGGGTCTCATAGAATCATAGAATATCAGGGTTGGAAGGGACCTCAGGAGGTCATTTAGTCCAACCCCCTGCTCAAAGCAGGACCAATTCCCAACTCAATCATCCCAGCCAGGGCTTTGTCAAGCCGGGCCTTAAAAACCTCCAAGGAAGGAGATTCCACCACCTCCCTAGGTAAAGCATTCCAGTGCTTCACCACCCTCCTAGTGAAATAGTGTTTCCTAATATCCAACTTAGACCTCCCCCACTTGCTCCTTGTTCTGTCATCTGCCACCACTGAGAACAGCCGAGCTCCATCCTCTTTGGAACCCCCCCTCAGGTAGTTGAAAGCAGTTATCAAATCCCCCCTCATTCTTCTCTTCTGGAGACTAAACAATCCCAGTTCCCTCAGCCTCTCCTCATAAGTCATGTGCTCCAGACCCCTAATCATTTTTGTTGCCCTCCGCTGGACTCTTTCCAATATTTCCACATCCTTCTTGTAGTGTGGGGCCCAAAACTGGACACAGTACTCCAGATGAGGCCTCACCAATGTCGCATAAAGGGGAACGATCACGTCCCTCGATCTGCTGGCAATGCCCCTACTTATACAGCCCAAAATGCCATTAGCCTTCTTGGCAACAAGAGCACACTTTTGACTCATATCCAGCTTCTCGTCCACTGTGACCCCTAGGTCCTTTTCTGCAGAACTGCTACCTAGCCATTCGGTCCCTAGTCTGTAGCAGTGCATAGGATTCTTCCATCCTACGTGCAGGACTCTGCACTTGTCCTTGTTGAACCTCATCAGGTTTCTTTTGGCCCAATCCTCCAATTTGTCTAGGTCCCTCTGTATCTGATCCCTACCCTCCAGCGTATCTACCACGCCTCCCAGTTTAGTGTCATCTGCAAACTTGCTGAGAGTGCAGTCCACACCATCCTCCAGATCATTAATAAAGATATTAAACAAAACCGGCCCCAGGACCGACCCTTGGGGC